CCGGCGAAGAAGTTTCAAAAAAGAAAAAGTATCAACATCTAGATAAACGGTTATTCAATCTTGTTTCTAATCCTCATCAGAATATTATTGACCAAATCACCGCAATAGCATATAATATTATTCTATACTACAATATTTTCATTTCACTTATAAACACAAGTAGAATTACATATATATAAACGATAATGGCAATTGAAGTCTTAGGATTTTGTAATAAATATAAATATAAAATAAGAATTTGTTATTGCGTGCGCAACCTACCCGTGCGCAAGATTCTCGTGCGCATCTTTCCGTGCGTAAGTTTCCGTGCGCATCTTTCCGTGCGTAAGTTTCCGTGCGCATCTTTCCGTGCGCAACTTTCGTCGTGCGCATCTTTCGTAGACCCTTCTCTTTTTTTACCACTCTATTAATTTAGAAGACGGATTCAGCTCAACAACAGTAGTGTTTAGATATCGCTAATTATGTCAAAACCGTTCACACATATGTTTTCATGAAGACTATTACTTTTGTATTTGTGAGTATGATTTTTATCGTGCCGGCAGTTTTCGCTTTGATTCAACGGCTGATGTATGTCATCAATATTATCAGTATCAAGCGGCCACTGTGGATTATCGTGAATTGCTGCTTAAACAAAAATTAGATTTCTAGATAGAATTGATCGAGAGAAATCTGATTATTAGTTCTGAGTTTAGATTTCGGTCTGACGATGAAAAATGCATTTTAATATGCGAATTTTCATGATTTTCACCATCCTAGAACAAGTACAGTAAAGCAATACAGCATTTTGAGTTTTTTTAAGTGAGCCACTTTATTCCTTGTGGTGTCTAGTCTATATCCCGAAGCATTCATATTTGTCGCTTAGCCATTTTTGAGAAGATTTAGAGTGAACTGGTCCTTGGAACCTTAACAGCTACCACATGTCGGACCACCTCTGGACCGCATGCCGATGTTTTTAAATTTTTTAAACCACATATCCTTACTCAGAATTCAATGCTCTTTCAAACTAGATATATGTCGACATATGCGGCAGATCTTCATGAAATGATGAGACAGTACCGAAAGAATTAGCCTTCAAGGATTCTTTGGCTAATAGACCCCGCCATCAGTATGGTCCAGTACTTGAATTTATGTGGCTGTGAACAAAAATGTCGAAGATCCATCAATTTAATGCATTATTCCGAGGATGATGAGGATGAATTTCTTGATAACAGAAAACAAAAGAGGCTCATGAGTAATGCCCCATCATTAAACACTGATCAGTATTTTACTTTCAACAAATTGCCTCGAAATTCCTTATTCATTCTTTTCTTCAGTTAATTTGAATGATCAAAAACCTCTGGAAGAAATCATTCATAATGAGATTTGCAAACATATGGAAATATCGCCGTCACGAAAACGCAAACGGCGTCAACAACTTATTCCGCGACATGATCATGAATGTCTCACGTCACCCGAAGCATATTAAAGTATATTCCTTGTACAACTTCGGCATTAGATGATTCTTCGACTATAAGAACTCTCCAACGTTTATATTTGACAGGCATCTCAAACTATCTATCTATGTGCAAATCAGAGCTTGCTAATTAGTTCTGTGACGGAAAAAGTACATACCAAACCGTGTTAAACTCGCTCGATGTGATGGAATATTACGTCATTCTATGGCAAGGGGTTAACGGACACCGGGATGCAGAGTTATAAAGATAATCCTCAAATGGACCCACCTTACCCTTGACGTTAGTTAGGGACCCATGCTTGGATAACTTTACTCATGTTCGATATCTTTTGGATCGGTAAGTTTTCGGCCTATAGCACAAGCCAAATTAAATAAGCAAAACACTTTCAGCTAAAACCTTTTTAAATCTACCGATGGCTAATTACAATAAATATCTCAGTCTAAACTAACATGGCAAGAAGCGGCTTTTTCTCTATTCAGTTATCCTGCTGTTGTTACATGGCTTGTTTTCTGTGTTGTCGAACGGTGAAAAAAAGGGATATTTTATTATTTTTCTCATACGACAGAAAGGCAATACTTTTTCTTTTCTTGTCGCGTATTTAAATAATTCTATTACTTTCTTTTCTTTGCTATGTAAATATTCTTACTTAATTTTCGTTCCTATCATACATGACAGTGCAGAAAAAGAGTCATTTTTCTGTACACTGATGTGTTGGTTCAGGGTGAAATATTTATTGTAATTAGCCATAGGTAAGATGCGTTTAAAAGTAAATATTCCAGCAGAAAGTATTTTGCTTCAGAGATGGAAAAAAACGCTGAAAATACTATCGTACCACTGGGAAAAAAGATTGATTCAGTCAAAATTCTGCAAGCACATTACATCATCCAAAATCCTTTTTTTTATCTATATCACTGACCCTAACAACGAGCATCTCTAAACTTGTGCAGAAGTGGGACTAGAGTACCGCAAAACTTCGATTTTTGGTACGGTTGCTAAAGTGAACTTCGAGAAACGACTTCGAGAAGTGTGAGTAAAATCGTCGACATGAATTCTGCAGTTTGACTGTATAGTGTCCCTGTATAACTGACACTGGTGTTCAGAAATTTTCTGCAGCTTTTTTCTTTTAGGACTTATGTAAAGACAAGCCATCGATGATGTCTGTCGAATCTGTCTGCGCGTACAGGACTCCTGTAGGCTTCTTTTCAGAACTGTTGAACAGGATTACGCTGTGCTACGCTCAAAAAACTGAAAACAGCTTTTGGTACAAGAAAATTATATACCTTTACAGCAAATCCAATGTGCGACAAGGGAAGACTCTTTAGTGGCAGTATTAAAATACTTTTTATTAGAAATAGTTACAGAGCTTAAATAAGACGAGTTGTCTGTTGACGATAAGGTAATAGCTCTTATCCAGTAAATGAATAGAAAAGATTCCTAATATCATTTTTGTAACTCAGAACTGTTTTAGATTTTGTTTTAACACTAAAAATGACTAGTCGTGCAATTAAACAAGTCGTGACTGCTAATAAGGCAGTTGAAGGTGGAGGATTTGTAATTCGAAGATCAGTTGGTAGTTCGAAATTATCCATGGTCGACCCGTTTCTTATGCTGGATCATTTCGGTCCCACATATTATAAACCCGGTGAAGCTGTCGGAGCACCGGATCATCCTCACAGAGGCTTTGAAACGGTTTCTTATATATTACAAGGTTCCACTCAACATAAGGATAGTCAAAATGGGAACGGCGTCATGAATCCAGGAGACGTACAGTGGATGACGGCAGGTGCAGGAGTCGTTCATGCTGAAATGCCCGATGATGATTTAATGAAAAATGGTGGTACGATGGAAGGTTTTCAATTGTGGGTTAATTTACCGCGAAAATATAAAATGGTATCGCCAAGGTATCAAAACATCAAATCAGATCAGATTCCTGAAATAAAATTACAAGATGATCGAATCAAAATTAGAATTATTGCTGGTTTTATTAATGATATTAAGGCTGTTATTGATACTAAAACCCAAATTGTTTTTTTGGATATCCATTTAACACGAAATGTTCAATTTTCGTATCCTCTATCAAAAGATTATAACGGCTTTATTTATGTTTACCGAGGTCAAGGTAAATTTGGTATCGATAATGTGTCAGCGACAGAAGGGCAAGCATTAGAATTTGCCAAAGACGGTGATTGTATTAGTTTACAGAATGACAGTAGTGAACCATGTAAACTGTTATTGTTAGCCGGTATACCGATTAATGAGCCCATTGCTCGTTACGGTCCATTCGTAATGAATACGAATGAAGAAATTCAACAAGCATTTGCTGACTATCGAGCTGGTAAAATGGGATCAATCGAAGGAGCAGAAGATAGAAGTGAAGCGACGAGAAAAGCATTAGAGAAATCGGGCGGACCAATAGGATTTTAGAAATTGAAAACAGATGGTTCTAAGTTCGAGTACCAAGTACGCCATGCATTTTTTTCATGTATTTGTCTATCAGACCCTCTTTAAACCGAGTAAGTGTATTCATTTGTACAGTTTGCTACTGATCTATGCGATTTTGATGACAGCTCCTCACAAAATGCTGAAAATCGTCTTTTGGTACATTAGAAAATTTGATGTTTGCTCCGCGCTGAACCAAATTGGATTAAAATTGGGCATGTCATTGGCGCCTTTTTTTCAACCAATGACAAAAATAAAATTTAGGCAAAAACCACGTTGATTATGTCGACATCAAAAACGAAGTGACGATGTAATTATAAGGAACCCGCTGTCGGATTCCCTGACAAATTTTGCATTTGGCGCCCAATTTTTATCCAATTTGGTTCAGCGCGAAGCAAGCACCAAATTTTCTAATGTACACTGTAAACTTTGTCGTAGACAATGTTGACGTCGCATACTGTAAGATGAGGATTTTCAAACTCGATACCTGCACATAATATCTCTTTTGTCCTCCATTCTATGACGTTATGTTTTGAATGTTATAGTCAAATTGTGTGTATATGATGGTACTGTCCAAAAAACTTTTACGCTTATCATTTTTTTTGCTCTCAAAAAATGTGCCTTTGAGACAACGCAAACGTCTATTAACAATTGTTTGCTAAAGTTAAATTGATGAAAAACTTAGAATAAAGAAACTTATCATATACCTGTGCTGGAATGAAGAATTTAGACAAAAATTATGTCTGCTTGTCTGATCTACAAAAAGTAATGCCTCATGTTTTTGTTTGTTGTTCGGTTAATCAAGCAATAGAAAAGTAAAAATAATGATGCTGACAGAAGGCTACGATTTATAAGGTAGAGCTAATGCAAAAATGAAGTCGAACTTTTTTTGCCTCTATTATACATATTCTGATTCTTTGGAGCGCGGTGATCAGGAATATCATCTTTTTCTTGAGTTTAGATCGAGTTTTCATGGAGAAAAATGCAAAATACTGAAGAGATCTCAAAAATCGGAAAACCATTGGTTGTTCAAGAAACTTCCGTAACTTTTTTGAAAGAGAGAGGGACGACTAGGATTTTGAGCTGTGGCGAACTCATCATTTGAGTTGTCATTGACCGATAATTGACTCACGTTGAAAGAGAGATAACTTTCAGAATAATCTGCAGAACTAGTGACGAAACTTTAGAGAATTAGGTGCTTTTGCCGCGCTGCACCAAATTTGATGAAAATAACTTTGAACTTTTCCGTTTCTAATATTTTATCTGATCAGTTTCCGTGTGTTATTGACCTAGTGGTAAATAGAGCAGTTATTTCTGGATTAAATGAGACCAAAATGAAGACTGGAAGTATGGTGGATATCTATCTGTCGAGACTAATTTTCATTAGGACCACTTGCTCCAAAATGATTGATAAGATAATTTCACACGCAAGAAGATGTGTTAGATCATTTTGTGTCTCGGTGGTGAATGAGTGCACTGGCCATTAGAACTTTTTAAGAATTTATAAAATTAATTAAAACTAATTTCTTTTGCAAGCTTATGCAAGTCCCATTAAATGCTAACTTTTCCGGAGTAACTTTTTGCAACGAATCTAATAGCAATCTCACAATTTTGTAAGAATGTATCTAAACCGAAATAAGTACTTGTTTCGTTTTTGAAATCTTCCAGGTCATTGAAATTAATGTTTTTAAAATTAATTTCCATTAAATATGAACATAGAAAGGACGGGGGACGATAAGAGACAAAATCGGCCTACTCTCAAATCAGTCTTATGTTAACTCATCTGATACAGTGTTTCTCCGCGAACAACGCTAACATATTTATAGGCCTTAAAAATCCTTTTCAGCGTCCCTAGAAACATTTTAGCAAAAAAACTCGTCTCGCGTTAAACGACCTTTACTCAAACTATTTACACTATAGTTGAAATACTTGACCGATATAATGATTTTCACCTATGTTAGTGCTTTAAACACTCCGTTAGTCATTTTTTTGCCATAATGAAAAATTATATATTTTTCAAAAACATACCATTGGATAGCCCTTGAAATTCTCCATAAAGTTACCCGGGCACATTATCCATACAGATGGGACCAGCCATTAAAGATATGGAAACGAAAGTTTTGGGTGTTACCTAAGCAATATAGTGTGTCATAATCACAAGAACTCTTTTGTTTTTCACTTTTCAGTTAAAGCTGGAACCAATCTAAATACTGTTTCGAATAGCCCGAAGATTTTTCTATGCGACGAGATGCGTATCGCCCTTGCATGAGAAAAGTTGATAATAGGGCTTACCTGACGGCTGGAACCTGACCGCTGAAAAACCAAGTCCTTGGTTTTTGGTTTCGCAATATACGGATAGAAAATAAAAAACAGGAAGCCATGAAACATCATGCTTGTATTTAAAAGAAACGCAGTAATGATGCCTGTCTTTGATTCCTGTTTTCAAATCAAATTAAGAGGAAGAATGTTAATTGTATCTGGATAACACTGTAATTAAAATATCTATCTTCAGCACATATTTAATGAGAGTTCAAAACGTGTGCCAACAATCGTGTTGATGAGACCTACATTTATTAAATTTTGCTTTATTATTCTATAATGAGACTAAAAATATCGAACGATTGTTAAGAATACATAATAAGTGAATGGCAAAGAGTACAAAGGATACAACGTACTTACTTCAGTACTGTTACAGTGTCAATTAAGTAGACAATATAAGTATGCACACTCACAAAAAGGATCATCTGTTATGCTTCGTTTGCGCAAACCATATTTTGATTGTGTAAGACCTATGCGACGACGGCAATAGTTAATTTCACTCATGCGCTCTTCTGAAACGGGAGACTTTCGTTTCTGTGCTTTAATAATTCTTTTTTAAATGATTAAAATCACCGAAAAATCAAAAGTGTATAATTAATTACATTATAATTATTAAACAATAAAACTGTGTAATAAGCGTATATGGCGAGCACATCGCGCATCACCCTCGTCAGTGATATGTACTGAAGATAGATATTTTAATTAGTGTTATGCAGATACAAAATTCTGACGGAACAGTAAGTTCGTTGCTTTGATATCATTATTTCTATAACAACTTAGCCACATACTGTTTGAAAGGTGTTTCTCTGAACTAAGATAAGATTTGAGATTTGAGCAGCTCAGAAAGTGTTGGCTAAATGCGATAGAACTCATTCTCTGGAATTAGGCAGGATGCTTTAGCTTCCCTTGCTGTTACGACCCCAATCTTCACTTCGGATGGTTTTTGCTTGCTGTAAAATTATATTCGCGATTAAATATATATACAGAAAATAAGAAGAACCAAAGCGTTCAACAAAATTTATTAAGCACATTGAAACAACAAGCAAATAAAATTCTGACTACACATTCATCTGAAAATTCTTTCAATCAGCGATTTAGCAGATGTGAGACAAGATATCTCGGGTTAGACTACAAGCAGAAGTTAGCTCTGTGTGTTTTCCAACAAACCCATTGCTCCTCCTGTAATAGGGCATTCGTGTTGCTTGTTGAAATTTCAGTCTCTGGACATCTGAAACACAGATAAATGGAGAAATAGCGATTAAATAGCAAATTCTTTTAAATCCCACAAGGAACGAGATAAAGACTGCTAATACTCAAATTACGCTTTGACATGCGGAATTCCCAAACTTTCGGCCTCATTACTATTACCAAGGCAGTTTAGTAAGTAGGCAGTTGATTAATCACACTTTAATTTTGTACAATTTTAAACTCTGCGTTCGAAGAAAACGCATTTGATTGCAGATAGTGAGTGTTAATGATCCATGTGCAAAACTTCATTGTTTTGCAAATATCATAAAACTCATTATTTCAACCATAAAAGCTAACTACTTTCTCTTTTTACCTCTTTTCTGATTTGTCGTACTAAACGAGGCAATGAAATATAAGATAAAAAATGAGCCATAAATCACTCATTTATGTGCCATATATGGCTCACTTTTAAATCATATCTCTCCCATATTTATCTCATTTATTATACCGTAATGTGGTGATAATTATGTCATCTTTTTATGGGATAAATATCATCTTATTATGGTCATCAAAATATGACCCTATCACTAACCTACTTAGATCATTTTTAGCTCATTTAAGACTATTTATGAAATAAGAAATGCAAAGAAGAAAAAATACGAAACAGCTCGTGCAGAGATTCGAACCCTGAACCTGTAGATCAGAAGTCTACGATGCTGTATCCACTACATCACACGGCTATACAAATATACATGTTTTTATTCCTTCTGTTTTTTAATTTTCACTTTGAACTTAGAAAAAACTAGTAATTTTGATTAATTAGCCTCTAGTTTTTGTCACAAACCACTGTAGAGAGTTGTGCCTAGAGACTAATAGATAGCAAACTTAATTTTTAACATTTTTTTACTTCAAGTCCCACCTTGGAAAACACTTCCTTCATGGCAAAAATAGAGTTTAAAAAGGGCCTTTCACCTTGAAGAACGGGTTTTCGGGGTCGGCTTCGGAGTAAAAAATATCAGAAATTAATTTTACTATCTTTTAGTCTCTAGACTCAACTCTGTACAGTGTTTGTGGAAAGTGGTAGAAGATAAATGCGCATAATTCCATAAAAACTGCTACTTGCGTTTATGTCATAATGTCCCATAAATGACTAATCTAATACACATAAATGATATGATCTAATTATTTACATAAAATGTGACAAATATAATCGTAAGAAAATGATCACTACAGATCAGAAGTTAAAAATGACACCTAAATGTCACATCTACGATCCTAGAGATATGATATATATATATGTGATACATAAATAAATCAGTTTTAGATGATTATAATAAGATCATATTTAGATCATTTTTACAAATTATATCATATATACCTCATTTTTATCTCATTTTATGAAATGGTCTTAAAATGACTCAAATATGATACTATTTTAAGCTCATATTTAAATCATTTTAGGATCATAATATGATCAT